TCTCTCTCTCTCTCTCCCAATGTCGATATCTCCCGCGCCATACTTCGTTCCTCCTGCCTGCGCAACATAGAGCGAGCTCGAGCCCATCGATCAATAAGCGGCGCATTGGCCGATGGCGTGCACTGCCCTTGCGGGCCGAGTCCTGTCCTCTGCCTCACGCGTCGTCCTCCACCGTCATCTCCATTCGCCATCCGGAACCTCGGCACGTAATCGGAGTCATTAGGATCGTCGGCCCCTGTGGTCTCGCCGGCCTCAGCGGCTGTGGAACTGTCATCATGGATGATGCTCCAGCCGCCTCGTCTCTTCTCGCCTCGCCCTGGTCCGTCCACGCCGTCACCCCCGTCTGCCCCCGCCTGTCCGTCAGCAGCGCCGGCATCTGTCTGGACTGATCTCTGTAGCGAAAAATAGGTAGCGGGCAGCGCCGGTGATACGGAATCGACGTACCTGTCCCCTTCTTCCTCGCCCGAGATAGCCTCGCAGTTGCCATCCTGGTGTCATGGACGTCCTCTGTCTTGGCCCGTATGGGCCTCCCATGCCGCTCCTCGAAAGCTCTCATGGACTCGTGACAACTGCTATCGACGTGGCCTATCAACCACAAGCCCGCGGGCACATCCGTTGGTCCACATGCTGATGAATGTCCCGTATCGCCCGCCCTCCGGTCCGTGCCCGCGCCATCGTAGAAAGACATCGTCGACAATGCACAACACGCATCCAAGTCATGGGCGGCGGGGTCGAAGGCGGGGGGGTGCGGGGGTGGTGGACAAATCCCCGGCAGATGCGGTCGGGGGTCACCCGCATGCCCGCCTCGAACACCATGTGCGATGGGCCCGCCAGCAGCAGGGTGTGTGGTCGATGACCCGCCATGCTCACTGTCCCCGCCGACGGGCTGACCATCAGCTGCGCTCCATGGATGAGCCAGATCCCGCCCCGCGCCCTCGCGTCCTCCCGACCGAACGACCCCCGGAACCTACGCCTCTGTCGCCGCCGTCGGGCCCGGGTGGGGCTCTGCCTGCTGACCCGCCGCCCGTGCTGGGACTAATGACCCGCCGTCCGAAAAATCCTGCGAACCACGACCCCCAGGCGCCACATGATCCGCGGATGCTGCCTCTAATGACTCTCCCAGACTGTGTTGCGCTGCGACGCGCGGCCCACCACGGCGGTTCCGTGCCACCTCATCCGCCAACCCCTTCTCCACATCCCACGGGCCTCCCACATGAAAACCGGCGGGAGAGCTGCGGACCTTTGAAGGATGCAGTCTCGTGTCGCCGCCGACCGCGTCGGATCCTGTGTCGTGATGCGTCTCATCCAGCGGAGCAGCCTTTGGTGGCGCCACGTCTGGCAAACTGGGAGATATCAAAATCGATATTTCGGGCAGACCTGCTAAGGCTGCGTCGATGGCCAGTAACTCATCAGTGCGCGGAAGACTGTCAGGTGGGCAATGGAGCCCGATGCCCTACTGCAACCTGTCTGGGTATCCCGCCAATGTGTCGCGGATATCCTCAGCGCAGTAACCGCAGCTCGCCAACACACGCGCCACCTCCTCTCTACTGTAGCGTACAGACTCGAGACCATCCTGGGCACAAGCGGGAGTATGTGCGACCTCTCCGTCCTCTAAACCACCGCCTGTCGTGGGAGGGGGTGGTGCCTCCCCGTCCTCCAAACCCACTCCTGCGGGGGCGACCTCCGCCCTAGGCGCCCCGTCCGCACCCGTGACAACATCTGTGGAAGGCATGCGATGGAGCTGCGTCTCCTCCGCGGTGCCGACAGCCGGCTCCGGCGACCGGGGACGAGTGACCACCGCTCCACTTTCCTCCCGCGCCAACGACGCGGGATGATCACCCATGTCATCCTCCGACACCGGGTCCTGCTGCATGACATGTGCCTCCGTCCTGGTCGCGACGTGCACACGACGTCTACGCACACGAGATGCAATGCTGTCATCCCGTCTGCCCCCGCGTCTCAACCGCTTCAAAACGATGGCAGGCATGCGAGTCATGGTGCGACCACCGTGACCAACATCGTCGTCCACGCCTCTCCCCTCGCCACCGCCGCCTCCCCCGCCACCGCCC